CGATGTCTCGCTGTTTTCAAATTTTATCACAAGTCGTTACAATCGAAATTCTCATCAATTTCTGACTGGATACTATAATATTTTTGTAAATATGATATTTAAATCTGAAACTTTAACGTCTCAAAGTTAAAATCGTGAAAGAAAGAATCGTGATATGTTTAGTCTAATCTAATTTTCTATCGTCATCTAATCATTTCTCCAAGTCATTATATGAGAGTCTTTGAATTCATCAAGTAATTTGTTAGCATAAAAAAAATCGTTTTTAGTTAAATTTACACGCAAAGAAATAAAAAGCAAAGCAAAGGCTAGGTTGTATGCGTGTTCTCGGGGTTAGGCATTTTCCGGTCGGTTCTCACACTCGCGGGGGCTACTTACGGGCGTAAAGGGGAGAAAGAGAGAGAGAGAGAGAGAGAGAGAGAGAGAGAGAGAGGGAGAGAGCGGCGGGGCAGAGGCAGTTAAAGTGGACGGAATTGGGAGCACGGTGGATCCCATGGAAGGCATTGTCGAAGGCTCGACAACGAGGGTTGAGAGACAACCCGCGGGCTTAAACTAGTTTCCGCTCGTACCAGTTCGCCGCTTCCACGCTTCTTCCTCCTCTCTCCTTTTCACCCCCTCCGTCCCTCGTTCATCCACCTCGTCCTTTCTTTTTCCACCTCTCCGGTGTGCGCGAACGTCGCTTTACATTTGAAACATATCGGCTTATATGGAAATGAATGTTTAGCCATGCATCGGCTCCTAAACATCAAAAAACGGCGAGCGAGCTCGCCGCTGGAAGCCGCGTCTTCGACCTATTGCAGAAGACAACTCGGAAGTGATACCCGTTTCCCTGTCTCCGTCCCTTTCTATAGAGAGTATATAATAAACTTCTACTCTTCCCTCGCCTCGCCGGGCATCCGTTCGTCCATCCTTGAATAACGATCTCCCACGGCGTCTAGTAATAACGATCGCGAAAAGATCGTGCGAAGATCGTTGTGTTATCTGGGCTTTTCATATTAAAATTCGAGCAGTATTATAATAGCAATACTAGAATTTAATTTACACTCGTACATATATTTATGATAATTGTTACTTGAAAGGATCATTCAAACGGGTAACCAAATGAAGAAGATAGAGTGCGATCGTATTTCGAGATAATTGAGTTTTCATCGTATTTATTTCTGTGAATCTCTAATTTTTTTATTATTTCAAACAAAAAACTCCATTCTTTTTCATCATGAATTGTAAAAGTACTACTTTAAAAGAGTTCAATTAAGAAATTCTATGTTAGAATTTAATATATCTCAAGGCAAATTTTCATTTTCTTTAATTAACACATGTTCTAAAATTATAATAAACTTTTTACTTATAAATACGGTCGAATAAACGAATAATGTTTGATAATTATTGTTTAATATTAAGATAACATACCAATAATCTATTGACGTTTCGACTCATAGAGTCTTCTTCAATATCAATTAAATCAGCCTATTCTAATATACAATACTGCTGTCTATCGAAAAGAATTCCATGTCAACGATTCCACTGTAATTAAATGTGATATGGTAATGGTATAAACCATGTCCATAATAAACTATCGTAATATATATATACATTTTTTTTTCCATTTTCTTTAAATTAAAAGAAAACAAAAAGAAAAATAGGAGACAAATGCTTTTTGGAATTTATCAGTAAGTCAATGTGTACTTTTATATATACGTATCAGAAAAGTTGTATCTTTGCCACGTATACGTTATCTGTTGTATTCGATAAAACAGACAAAATAATCATACGTTTATTAAAACGTTTTTTAATTAGTGTTATCTCTTCGGTCGAGTATTGATTTGGTTGAATGACAAATTCTCCGTTTATGCGGCGGCACGTTCCCGAGGCACCGATAAGGCTGCTCTAAGCTGCTCACTGGCGAAGAAAGAAAAAGAGAAAGTGACGATGGTCGATATCGAGGCGTAAGGGATGAAAAGATAGAATGAGAAACGGAAAGCAAGCGCGCGAGTCCGGGGGATGGAGAAATAACAGATTGCAGTTGTGGCACGAGCGAGCGAGCGAACAGTCTGACATGAGTTCTCTCGGCTCGTAGCTCGCGAGCAGAAGTGGCAGGTGCTACATTTTTTTTCGAATTGCTTGCCTCATCGTTGAGAAAGAGCCTCTACGCAACACTGCCTCCGCGGTGTTGCGTAGAGGCTCCCAAACTGCGCCTCGCAAAAACGCGTCGCGTTGAGTATTTAGATTTATTCTTTTGCTTATTGAAAAAAGTACGACCTAGATTTTTTATGAACCGTTTCTTCTACATGACTACGGCCGAAAATTTTGGAAATGTTTGAGAAATTGAGTATTATACATTACTTGGCTTTTGCGCAATACGATAAAAGCGGACAAAGTATAATATTTACACGAATAGCTTCCTGATTGCTTCAATATCTTTTTGATATACTTAAAAGAGCAGAAATAAATTACGACAGTATCGATTGCTGTTATTACCATAATAGAAGAGCTTTATCTTTTGATACAGATTTATTAGAGGATATTTATTATGTTATTTACGTTAATAACAATGCACGAGATATTTAGTGACAAATAGCGAGTTATATCTGATTACAATTGGCTTGTCAAATAAGCAATCTATCGTGCGAGGTATGAAAATTCACGATTTATGGTAGACAAAAGTGCCGACCGCTTATGATATCGAATCGATGATGGTATCGTGGCTCTTGGCGCTTCGTTATCGTCAACATATGTTGAAACCGTGCTGCTATTTATAATGTAGATATACGTACCATCGATCCATGTACACGTGAGCATGTGAAGAGAATAGTGGAGAGTGTAAATAGTATTCCAAGTATATTTCATGCACGAACACACAACGCTATCAACAGTTTAGAGCAATGTTACGGCACTAGTGTAATCTATCCAAATATAATAGTTAACTCAACAATTAATATCCAGTTCTACCAAAAATAAGATTAACTTTAATCTCAGTTGAGTTTACTCTTTATCTTTTTACTCTCTATCTCTTTCTAATTTTAGAATTAAAAAAATGATAAACAGTAAGTTAAACCGAGATAAAAATTAATCTACATTGATGGAAAGGAGCATAAGTCCGATAAAAATCTTTCTTGGAATTTCTAATCTCTTTAGTGAGATTATTTTTCGCAAACCACTGCAGAGGAATGCGGATGCTGACAGCACTAAGTTGCATCTTCTATCTCTACTCAAAGTGATATTACTCACACATTTAATACGTATTCTAATACACATTCTGATATGTCTCGATGATTTATGACAATCCGCAATAAACACGATTTTAACGTCTCTTATCCACATCTAAGTTGACACGATAAGAATCGTAGATTTAAAGTGAAACGGATACGATGATTCGCACAATCTCTTACAGGAAGATTTTCAAGGTTTAGTATGTGGCGTAACAAAAATTATTTTAATCGCGTGTGTTCAATATGAATATTTTCAAATTACATTTTAATAAAGAATACTCTCTTTTACAGATTTTTGAAAAACCGAAAATAAATAAATTCCTAAACATTATAATCGTGTTAATAAATTTTGATACACTTTCTTCAAGATAATTTTTTAATTACAGTCAATTGATATAAACTATTAAAAGAGCACATTTAAAAAAAATCACATGATATATAATAAATAGATAATCTTGCACATAACAAATGGAATAAATTCAACAAAAAAACGAATGTCCTTTCCCTTTCTACTAATTAACTTCAACAAATCCCAGAAAAAGAATTATAAATCGGACAATATTTTGCATATAAAGCAAACAGGATAAATCTAACAAACGGATGTCCTTTCTCTTTTTACTAATTAGCTCCAACCAGCTCTAAATAAAGAATCGAGTATATAAATCCCTCTATAAATTTCGGAATGAGTTCCACTGTGACGATGCGATTTAATGCCCGAGCACGGCGATTTTTGCCCGAGCACGTTCGAGCACGAGTTCAAACTCAAACTCTCTCGTGCATGCGCGCACGCGCGCATTTACTCGCGTGCGGCCAATTACGCACCTTGTTACGCGCGGTATTACGCGCGGCCCGATCTCTCCTGCGATCGCCTGCGTGCAACCGGGCACGGGTTAACGAACCTTTTCAAGTTCCGCACTCGCGAGCGCAGTGTAGAACGAGAGAAAGAGAAAGGAGGAGAGATAAAGAGCGAGGACAAGAGAGAAATTAAATAAGTATGAAATATGTACGCGACTGGTCTGCGTATTGGCAAGAACGCCCGGTAGTCGCTAAAAATAATGGCTGAATAATCTCGATCAAATTCGATGTCGATCGCAGCTTTAATAAATAAAAATCGCGATGGGATCACGGAGTCCGTGTCGCAAATTTACGGCGATCAGTTAAGGTTACAGTGTAGCGGCAACGTTTTTTTTTTTTTTGCAACGACTTTATTAATATGACTGAGGGTCTGTAATGCGAACATGTAACACAAGATATATTTTATCAAGCGTTTTTAAACGATGATACATTAAGCCATGCGACACACGCAATCAAAATTTTTCGTGATCAAGCCACCGATCAGGTATTCGCTATAAGAACCTGACTCTTTTCAACAGATCGAATAAAATATTTTAAAAATGAAATAATATTAATTCAATAGTTTGGTGATATATGAAAAATCAAATAAGATTTGAATTTCTATTACAATTATAATTACAATCGTAAACGTAAGAAATTGTTATATTGATTGTGACAATTCTATAATTATTAAAATAATTGTCCATACGAATGTCTATAAATTTTAAGAAATCAAATTCGGAAAATAATAATTAAAATTTTTTTTTCTTCTTTTGGATAGTTTTCATGTACAGAAATCGCGGAAATATATCTTGAATTTATGAAAATTGACGTTTAATTTTTTTTTAAATAAAAATTCTATATATTTAGAGAGATTTTTTTTTTTCTCTTTCTCTCTCTCAAACTATCTAAAAACCATGCTTTCACAATTTAGTGACAAAATTTAATGACGTAACTTACCGTTTTTTTGCTGCGCTGGCTACGGACGGTTCTACAACGAGCGAGGATCCGAGATAGGTATATCCTGCAACGAAAACGAAGAAGCTGGTTTTTAGGTGTGTCTTTAAAGAGGCGTACGAAATTCATGGACACGTAACATAACACAACGGTGCGGCCAGTAAATAGAGCGATTACCAATCTCGCGGTCCAGACCTTGTTATTGTAAAGGGTGTCCTTTCATCTATTCACATAGTAGAAGCCGACGAAAGTTAACGGTTATTTCATTGTTATGGCGTAAATAATCCGTAGTTGTCCAATAGCGAACATTGGTATTTATTACATACCCTTTAATTGTATTAATATTCTCTTTTTGGTGCAAATAATAATAACTTTCCCTCGAATTGATATCTTTGTCTTAAATTTGTTAATTTACAAATATATTGATTAAATGCACTTATATCAATTTTGTATAAACAAATATATATATATATATATAGATATTTTTTATTAATAAAGTTAATTATATTATTATAAAAATTCAAAAGAATTATATCGATGGACAAACTTTTACTGATATTAGCTTACAATTAGTTTTCAATTAAACTTTAATTTTTCCAGTGCTACTGCCGTATAAATTTTGATAAAAGTACAAACTGCTAGATATTTTCATTGCGATTTTCTCATGCGTCTCAAGTCGGACAGTAGAATTGGATCAATGGGTCAGTGTACAACCTGTTTGAGCCTCGACCTCTGACCCCGCGGACGAAACGAGGAGAGATGGGAGACTTTTCCCATGGAAAAACACATGCGGTCGGACACCACACCGGTTCCGCCGCGCGGTCGCTTCCGGGTTCCGGTGTGCACGTGTGGTGCGGTAACGGCGCAAAAATCGCGGCCGGCATTAACCTAGCCGAAAGCTATATCACCACAGCTACACCTCACTCATATTCTAATCAGGATCAAAAGGTTATGTGAACTGCCGGACACATTTCGTAGCTCGCGAGAAAGACGGAGAACGGGAAAGATAGTTGGAAGAGAGAGAGAGAGAGAGAGAGAGAGAGAGAGAGAGAGAGAGAGAGAGAGAGAGAAGGAAGAGCAGCGGGTATATACGGCACACACAAGTATTTCCTTACGTTTCCTACGCGCCAGGTGTCGTTTACCGGTCAAGCCCATCTAATTTCCCATGACCGGTTCCTCGCCGCGCGAATCGCGAGAAGAATAGATTCGCGAATCATTCTCGCGCCGAACGGTCGCTCGACGTAGTGCTCGTTAAGCGGATCCGTTGAGGTGCCTTCGGTGTCAGCTCTTGTGATTGTGCCCATTTAAATTTTAATCGAACGAGAACGCCTGTCAGAATCGAACTACCACTTCGTCTACCACCCTCAGTACTCGTCGTCTCGTCAATCATGTATAACTATATCATTAATTACTATAGCATCGTAAGACATCACTCAATCGCTATTAAAATCATAAATAATCAAGATTTTTATAATTGTGAGCTGTTTTAATTCTAATTAATTTCGCGAGACTCGTATCTATGAATAAAAATATACTTCCTTGAATTTAAACAAAGTTCTTCGGGGGACTAGATTTTCTCGTGCGGTACAACGGCGTGGGGGTCAAGTGGTGAACTCGTTTGCGTAGATTTTATTAGACGCTACGCTCAACACAATGAGAGTATGCATACGTCGTGGCTGGACGACGAGGAGCCGGCTTGAGAATGCGAATGAATTAGAAGTATAGGAATATGAAACGAAATAAGGAGAATGCGCGAGCCAGCAGAAAAATGGCGTGCTCGCGTGTCTCTCTCTCCTTTACAGTCATTCGTTCGGCAGTGGGAGAGAACGGGATAAAGAGCGGTAGATGGACGAGAGGAAAGGAGTGGCCATCTAAATGGCTACTTAGTATGTCTCGTGTCAGGTCTCTCCCCTCGCGCGAGCTCTGCCCCGTCAGTAATAATATTCGTAAGTGTACCTATATAGACGAGTGTGCTCGACCGCGTAGCCAACAGGTTTCATGCGAAAGCCAATTCGGTGGCGAGAGAATGAGAGAGGTACAAAGTTCGGGGTACGTCCTGACGAGGTTTTAATTCGATTCTTATGCCGCGTTAAATACGCCGCGCATTTTACGCCCGATTTCACGTGCCGTAAAGATGGGACGAGATTGCACCAGCGCGAGCGGGGTTAACTCTGTCATTACACTTACTAAAGTGGGGCTTGAGAAGCGCGCTTCGGTACAACAAAACACGACGGCACTGATGACAATGCACAGGTATAATAAATATAAATATATATGTATAGCACACACAGTGTGGTAACAATGATACTAGACAGATGCTAAAATGAAGCAGGAAATTTCAGTACTGTTCGAGAGGAACAAGATAATGTGGTGATGTACTTGAATTGCGTAATTAGTTGAATTAGTAGAGCGGTGTAATTAAAAACTTTACGTTCACGTAATTGCCATCGATATTGAAGTGTCTGTTAAGAAAAAAAAAATGGTATATAAACAGTCCTCTTTCAAATTGAATTTATCATATATAGAGAATATTCGAGATTTTGTATAATAGAAAACAGATAAAATATACAATATATAATAATCGTTAATAAGACTTTTTTTTTTAACGACGATCGTGTAAAGCTTCTTAATGTTTTTTCAAATAAAGTTGTGTATCTAATATATTAACTTATTGTTCAACAACTTAGTTATAGTTACAGAACACTAATATTAAATTTTATACGTACTATATATGTATATGTAACATAGTCTATCTAATCCTAAAATTTTATGATTCTTAGGTGCGATAAATGTCTTTCATCTACTTCGTCCATTAATATGCTGCACAAAAACCTATAATATAAAAAATTATTCCTTGACCTGTATATATATATATATATATATGTAGGCATTTAAGCAAATTAAATTGAATATGCGTTTTCTTGGATGATAATAAAAATGATTATGAAAGCGTCTCTCTGAACTGGTTCATAAATGCCCACGAACTTCCGGGAAAGCTCCGGCGCTTCGTTTTGGCGATGGGACACCCGTTATACGCTTAAAATATACCGGCATCTCGTATGGGGCGCGCTGCGAAGAAATGCAGAAACAGCAGTTGCTATGCTAGATGGTACTACTCCCTCCAAAACGTGTACACCCTCTTTCTCTCTTTTTCCTTCTCTCTTTCCTCAACGCATGTGTTGTGTTAGAGTAGATGAAAGAGAGCGACGGAAAAGGGAGAGAAAGCAAGGAAAAGAGAGATGAAGAGAGCATCGGCGCTGAAGAGAGAAAGAGAGAAAGAGAGAAAGACGGAGTAAGAGAGTAAGAGAGGAACTAAGAAGAAACACTACACAGAAGGGGCGAGAGAATTACACGTGGTAGTAACGACGTGAAGAGGGCAGACGGGTATTCGGAGAAGGGCCATGAGGGGATGAAGCGAGGGACGGAGGAGAGAGAGAGGGAGAGGAAGAGAAAAGGAGAAGGGCTAAAAAGAGGGAGTGAAAACGAGATCGTGAAGGTAGCGAGCAGGCGCAGGGGATCGTGGAGTATACGAGACGACGAGTGAAAGAAGGAACGAGTGAGGAAGGGCCGAGAAGATGGGAGCGAGATGGAGCGCGGGGCTCTCGTTTCAGAGAGCCTCTAAACTCTCGTGGTCCGGGTCTGGAAGCGGGTTTCGTAGTCGAGCCGAGCCGGTGTATGTATATGCGGTGAACGAAGTGAGAGCGCGGGCAGGAGAGTAGTAGGTTAGCAGGCGCTCTCTCCCGAGGGAGAGGGTGCTAGGCGGTGATCCTGACGTACGAGCAAGACGGCAAGTGCCTTTATAGTGGGTCAGCACTAGACCTGGGCACCCGGCCAGCAGCCTTCAAGGTCTCCTTAGTACGCGCTGTGGCTGTGTGGCTGTCTCTCCCTACCTCATCCCTCTCTCTTTTACCCCGCCTGTCCTTCTTTTCCCTACAACGCGTATAGCGACTAGCGGAGTCGCCAGGTAGGTGAGCCCACTTCTTCGTCTTCTTCTTTGCCAGTTAGGGTTAGGCTAGAGTGAGCTAGCAGCAAATTTCGGCGCGTTATCCGGACGTAGTAGAATTGCCGTGCAACCTCTACTTAATATATATTCATTCATTTTTTCTCTCTTTCTTTTTTTTTTAATCCTCTTTGTCGCCCTCGTACTTTGAATGAGGAAACCTTTTCAAGTATTTTTCAAGAACGAAACTCGCGAGGTTTCAAGTTTTTTACACGGTGCAAATCTAAGAAGGCCTACAAAGATAAATTTTGGATATTGAATGAACTACGTTCGAATTGAAAATTTTGCAACTTATTAGATTTCGCAGAATTTATAATTAAAGAAAAATATATGTAAAACTATTTTAATATAAATACATGATATCAAAATCTGTACATACATATATATCTTTGAATCCAAGTACCGAATTAATATTCGATATATGTAACATTCAATTTTTACGATCTGCGAATAAATCTATTTGTCCAATCTATTAATTATACAAAGCCACATATCTTGAAATTATCGCTAAAAGATAATATTATGGCTGCAGGGCCAAATGTAAACGTAAGTGTAGAGTGACAAACAGGATCAAACGTATCTACGATATTAAATATCAGCTATTATGCACCGTTCTTTAATCTCACTGTGTCGATTATTCGTATATGACACGATTCTAAGAGATGAAGGTCACTCGACGAAGGTAGATTCCGAAAGTACATCCGGAACGCAGCGTCAGCGGTTTCCTATCTCGTTGACTGATAATGGCGAGAAGCTTATCCGGTAGCCATTCATTTCTACGCGTCTAACTCCACTTTTGATTGGTTCATTCGAAAATTACTTTTACGTTTCTTTAAAAAGAATGAGTAGATAATTAATTTTTTTCGAAAAATATATTTTTAGTAAAATCGCAATAATTATTTCATTTTGTAAAAATTATTTCGTGTCTCGCTTGAAATTTTGTGATATACTTTATACGTGAATATGTGTTGTTCATTATTATTCATTAATTCTCATAGGTTAACGTTTCACACATTTCAGTCGAATTATTGATACATTAAATAAAAAAATATTATTGAATGACATAA